GTTGTTTGATGTTTGCAGCCTTTAACTGATCAGTATTTTGACCGACTGGCCCAAATCATGAGTAGACCTGACCTACCAGCAAGAATAAGGTTTATGATGCAGGATGTACAAGAACTAAGAGACCATAAGGTTTGTTCAAATAGTCTTTATGCCATTTCAAAGCTGCAATATTTTGAATTTCTTTTTTCTTTTTTTTTCTTTTTTTGCTGGTGTTATTGTTTTAACAAAAAAATCCTAGAGTTTATTATAATTATTGTATAGTTTTTGCAATTACTCTTAATGATTGATATTGCCAGTATAAAATATATATTATACAGTGGTTAACACTCTTTAAGTACTTTTTTTGATATTTTGGGGGGTGTATTGGCAGGAATTTACATGTACATGTAATCTTCTAAAAAATCTTGACTCAGAATTTACAAATGATTCTAAAATCCTGCGAGCTCATATGAAAATCAACTTCAAACACTCGACGCATTCATAGGATACTTCATAGTTGCATAATTCATAGTTGTGATAAATTCCAATTTTGAATGACAGCATTTTGTATTTGTTAGTGGATTCCTCGTAAACATATCCGTGATGTAGGACCGAAGACAATCTACCAGATACGACAGGAGGTTTGGCAGGTAATAGTACATGCAAATTGTAATTGAAAGGCAATTTACAATACAATATTGCATGTTAGTTTGGAGGAGGATGCTTGCTTCCCCWTCTGCCATGGCTAAACATGATTAGCAGTTATGCATAAAAGTCCTATCCCTCTACATTGTAACCAGTGCAACATATAAATATCCTTAACAAAGCTATTGAAATAAAAGCACAGAGCTGTAGTACCCTGTGCAGCATTCTAAAACGGACCATCAGGTTGTGCTCTTAGGGAAGACACTTTGAAGTCGTAGTCCATGTTTCTTCCTACATTTTTTACCTGAACAATGTAAAATTACATTTATTACTATAATTCAAATGAAAGCAAGGACAAAGAGTCCCCAATGTAGCATTGTCTGCGCCATTACTGATATTTCATAATTATCAAACCATAAGGTCAAGTTCACTCGAGTTGATAGCCCATTAGACTGTATCCACCAAACTATATGGGCAAATTTGACCAGGAAAAAAACAAAAACAAAAAACAAACAAAAAAAAACACAGAGAAATTCTTCTCGGCATATTTTTTGACTACTTTGATTTCATTCAATATGACCATGGTCTATCATGCATAGATATATTTCTGTAGCCAATCAGAATGCTGGATTTGTGATAGCCCATAGTTATTTTCAACTAATTGTATTAATGAATATTGATCTTAGATATTCTTCATATTCCAGGATTTTCCAGGCCACCCTGGTTCCCAGATGCCACCAAATTCACAAATGCCCAGAAACTCTCCTCCACACCCCTCTGGKAACTGGCAAGGTAGACCTAACTATGGTAGCAAAGGGCCATTGTCATCACAGTCTGGGCGTGGTCTTAATGACGTGTTTATCAGCGAAAATGAAGGCAAAGGACACATGTTTGATCATGACTTTGGCAATGGTGCCATTCCAGATCACCAGGGTCCTAATTATGGGTCAAGGTAACATTGATATTTATTGTCCATACATGTATATAATTATACATAACATGAAACTTTMAAGGAATACATCTACAATTGCCATCAAAAAGCTTGACATCCCAACATCATTTTATGCAATCTTCTGCTATTTGTGTGTTTTGCATTCAAACCCTCTTCCCTGGTTCACAGTTGCCTTACCTAATGTGACACAGTTGTTGATTGTTCAAACTCACTCCAACACTGGTATGGGGTTTTGAAGATTTAGAGGGGATTTTTTTTGAAAAGAGCAAGCTACAACAGTTAAAAAATACCAGCAAAAATATGATTAAACTTACGGTAATACAAGCAGCAAAATCATCCGACTTGTCTCGCAAAAATTGCTGCAAAACAAGTAGCAAAGCAAGGGTGAATGTATTTCTACCGCCAWACCAACTTGTCTTGCAGCAAAATAATTTATTGCAGGTTAAAAAAGAAAGTAGAAGATCATTCTACTTTTTGCAACAAAACCCATTGACGTTGTGTGCATTACCACAAAAAAAAACTTGCATCGCATCAMAATATGCAAAATCAGCTGACTGCATTGGCCAATAAGAAATAAGGATTTGCTSAACCTTTACTTTGTATTCCCTAGTAATGACTTCTGTCATTATTGTTATCAGATACCATGAAGATGACTATGACAGCTTTACTACAAAAGATCCTTGGGCTAATCTAACAATCAGCCATAGTCCACAAAGRGGCATGTCACCTTCAGGCTCTCCCACATCTACTCGTCATCAGCAGTATGGTACGTTAAGATTCAAGCTCTTCTTCTTACTCCCATTGTACAATAAAGATGGAGAAACACTGAAAATGTTATAATTATTGTGCAGTAAACCAGCACAAGGAACAATTTTCAGCTTACGTTTACAACATGTTGATGTATTGAATAGCTTTCTTTATCATGGCAAATTTAGTTTCTGTGCGAAATGACTTAATCATGGATATAAGAATTGCTGAACAGTTGGAAACTTGGGCAAAACAACTTAATTACGGGATATCAAAGAATAAATTTCAGAACAAATTTTTACAGCAGAAACCGTTGCATCGCGACTTCAATGTTCAAAGGAAATAGTTGGGATTTAGGTTTTTCTGCGACTTGGGGGCGGAACTTGACACTAATCATCCAATCATTGAACGAGTTTTCATAAAGCTCTGACCCTCAGATTGAAAGAAAGAACAAAATCCAGACAAACTTCAAAACAAAGAGGTCGCGATGCAACGATTTCCGCTGTAATTATCTTGGTTGCTTTCAATTGTTCTACGAAAATGTAATAGGAAAGCATTTTGATTTTCTAGGATCAAGAAGACCTCCACCTCGCCCAAGTCCTTTGAATACTGATGGAGAGGTAACTTAATGAAATAATGAATCTGTACTAAAGTTACATTGACAATACAAACCTGGGGCCAGTTTTAAGAAGGATGGATAATGTTATCCACCAGTTAAAGCTTTCAAATCCCAAAAAGATTTTATCCTTAAAAAAGCAATTTATTTCTAAATATGTATGTATGTCCTTCAGTAGTTGGAGAGAATAAATTGAGATGCGAATGCAGCCTACTACTGGAAAAGAAGCCAGAAAAAATCTGACTTTGAACGGAACCCAGATACGACTGCTCCCATGTGGCTTTGATAGCTCAGTTGGTAGAGCATTGCACCGGTATGGCAAAGGTCGTGGGTTCGCATCCCGTTCAAAGTCAGATTTTTTCTGGCTTCTTTTCCAGTAGTAGGCTGCATTCGCATCTCAATTTATTTCTAAAATTCAACCTTTGCACAAAAAGTCCTAGAGTTCTGTGGTGGTGTTACACATTGCTTGGGTACATCATCATCATTATGTTTCTCCTATTAGTTGCGGTGTCAGAAGACAACATTGAGGTGCTATTGCCGGAAACGTGCATCCAGCAATTGCTTGAAGTCTGTCTTCTTCATCATTTTCCTTGTTTGCTGTGACAGCCAGCTCCTTTTCAACTCTGTCTCATATTTTCTTCTGGGTTGACACTTTGAATAGTAACTGTTTCTGGAAGGCGTTGTTACATATGTCCTCACAATTTACAATGTATATGATATTATTTATGATCCAATGACAGATAAGTCTACGACCAGCCAGGGATTCAATGGCTGCAAAGACACTGGGAATGACCACAAGAGCACAGAATCAAGCCAAACTGGTAATATACTACATACATGTACAAAATATTTAAATAACAGAGGAGTTTAATCAGGGAAATGATGCTATGATAGCATGCTGCCCACAGAAACTGGATGTCACGAAACAMAAATAGTCACCTGAGACTTTCATTTTGATTATGTGCAAGTTTTATTTTCTAAAACCAGGCAACCTTTTGTAAATAGCTTTATAAAATAACTTTCATATTACGCGCGCTCTGATTGGCCAAAAAGCCATGTTTGATGAGAGCATAATACACGCTCGCGTCATTTTTTTTTCTCGGCTTTTTTTTTTTTTTTCATGAATATTTGAGCGCTTGTTATTTTATAAAAGCAATAAAAAACAGTTTTCCGTTCGCGTCGTGGTTTNAAACTAGCATCTAATAGTTTTTAAACATTTTCTATCTTCAGGAAGACATTTTGATTGAATATTTGTTGAAAAAGGAAGACTCTGACGCCATCAAGTCTTTGAAAAACATGAAAGCAGAAAAGTAGGTTTAATTAATACTGATTTATAGCAAGAAGAAACGTGTCTGAACGGATATTTTTAGACTTTTTAGTTCCAGCTTTCCATGCCAAACCATAATAATCATTTATTATTATTATTTTTTTATTATAGATATTTGAAAGATCTGTTTTTGAAAGTGATATTTGCCGGTGTAAACAGAAATGATGAAGAGAGACTTCTAATCGCACAATTAATCCAGGCCATGTACAAAGAGGGCTTGATCACTAAAGACATTATCATGCAGGTAAAATGGACTACGAGTTGATCGTACATGAGGCTTTATTTGGTCGTTCATTGCAGTATTGATCGTTTTCACCCATTCCCATGAGATTCAAAAGCGATAAAAGACCGGCGGCCATGTTGGAGGAATGAACAATAGATACTAATGAGAAATCATTTGTTAAAGTTCCTCCAAGATGGCCGCTGTGACGTAACCTGCAAACCAAGAATACAGTATTGAGTATTCTATGCTTATAAAATAGCTGTACATGATTGGTAACCTACATTTCTCTCATTGTTGTCATTATGGTCACTGTCTTTAGGGAATGAGAAATGTCCTTGAGGAGAGTTTGAATGACAAAGATGGACAAAATACTAAAGAATACATTGCAGGACTATCAGCGAGAACAGTCATCCAAGTAAGATTACAAGAAGACTTTCAAAGAATAAATAGTGATTATTGATTTATTCACTTATTGTCAATGCTTTGGTTTCAGGGGCTAGTCAGCCTTAGCGAAGTTGGTAAAATGCTGGAGGGTGAAAAATACCTGAATACTCTACTGATGGTACTTAAAAAATTGGAACACATGAATGGGCAGGTAAATACTTAAGACATACATGTACACATGGATGGCATGGGTGGTCTAGTGGTTAAGCTGCTGGCCTCTCACCGCTGTGGTCCGGGTTCGATTTCCGGGCACGGACCATATGTGAGTTTGAATTTGTTTGATGTGTTGTTCTCTCCCTTGCCACGAGGGTTTTTCTCCGGGTCCTCCGGTTTTCCTCACTCAGCAAAAATCAACATGTGAGGAGTGTTGTCTGCTAAAATACTTAATGTAGAGGTAGTGAGTGTGAGAGTACAGGGTCCGCAGTAATAGTCGACTTTAGATATTTTGGTTCAGTGACCATGCACAAAAGAATTGCAGACGAGGATCCGGGGAAATAAGAGAATAAATCAAAATTATCCATTGTTTCCCCGGAGCCTCGTGTGCGTTCTTTTGTACATAGTCATCGAACCAAAATATCTAAAGTTGACTATTGGCTCACGCTGTTGCGGTGTCCCTGCCCCAAGTAGGGGCAGAAGCTTTTAAATTTAAATTTACACATTCTAAGTGAGTGGTTGGACTGCCTGATAACACCTACAGCTTGTCGAAAAAACAAAAGGCTCCATGCACCATCTTAAAAGGTAGCCGTGCCTTTACATCGAAGCGAGACAACCGTTGAGCATGTAGTGATAGAAACCTTTTTTTGCATATAAAGAGGTATCTATCATTGCACGCTTAACCGTCGCATCGCTTCGATGCAAAGGCACGGTTACATTTCAAAATGGCGCAGGGAACCGTTAAGGGGACTGGGCACTGAGACAACTTTTACTTTACTTGTACAATTTTATCAAAGTAATAATTTTTAAACTTATTTTTTTTCTGAAGGAATGGCTTATCGGTTCATTCAACGAAAGCAAGATCAATCTTTTGAACTGCTTGCCAGGTAAATTAAGTGTAATGATTTAGATTTTACAGCCTAATCATTCTTGTATGCAAAACCTCAGAAGGATCTGGAAACGAGAATGATACGTCGACTCGCGCATGCGTACATTAAAAAGTTACACTGGTAGCCCAATAAAGTAACATTTTTTTTGGTTTGGACAGAAAAAGACAGATGCAATGAAACAATGGTAGAAATACTTGAAGAACAGGTACACACTTGTTATATTTATTATACAACTATCAATGAAAAATCAGCTGGCATACTGTGTAGCATTATTCTGTGATAGTTGCACGCGGAAAATGGATGTTCAGAAAAACAAATAATCGCCCTCGAACACAGACTGGCTAATTGGCAATTTAAAAACAACAACAATAACAATCAAAATAACACTTTTTTCGGAATTTTTTCGACTACTTTTTCTCCTTTCGACGCAACCATGGTATTCGGTAGCCAATACGAAAAACCTTTGCTATTTATAAACAAGTCTAGATTTGTGCAGTATTATAATTAAGAATGCTGCATTTGTAAAAGCCTATACAGTCAACTCTCTCTTAAGCGACCACCTCTGGATCAGGAAAAAGGAGGTCGCTTACGAGAGATGGTCGCTTACGAGAAAGTTTTTTTTACAGAGTTTATATGGGAAACTGAACAAAACGGTAAATTTAAAAGGTGGTCGATTACGGGAGATGGTCGCTTACTAGAGTGGTCGTTCAAAGAGAGTTAACTGTATTTTGGTGGATCTCAATTTCGCATATTTTAGTAATTACATTGCAAAGTTTACTAATTATTGAGTAAATTGATATTCACGGTATTATTCACTAGAGAATTATTTGTTCGCAGAGCCTTGCGTTCCTATTCCCTCTGTTGAGGATACAAGCTGAGCTTTACAAGAAAATAGAAGATGATCCGAATTCATCAAACATCTACAAATGGATCAAGGAGAACATTGATTCCACACTCCAGAGTCAGCCGGAGTTTGTCAATGTTTTGACCACGTGGTATACTTTTTGTGTTTATCTTGACCGTAGTCTTAAAGCCGTTTAGACTGGAGATTTTTGCGGCGACTTTTGTGTTCATTTGATCCAAGAGAATGATGCTAAAGAATTTATAATTTAACTTTTATTCAGTATACTGAGATGAGCTAACTTAATGTCTCAGATGGATAGGAAAAAATCTATTAAATTTTGAAAATCCGATGAAAAATTGAAGCTAAAATCGTCGCAAAAATCGCCAGCGCAATTAAAGGCCGAATAGCCGATTTCCGAATTTCGCCTTAGTATTCAAAGACAAAAGGATCAAGACGAGGCGCCGTGCGCAAGTCGGCTATTAGACGACACAACTTTTCCCTACAACCATCGCATGCAAAATGCGTAAGTCATCCTCCAGCATTTTGTTTGAAATTCTTACGACAGTTGTAGCCATGTTGTAAGGCTTACGCCAGGCTGCATGCGATGGTTGTTGGCAAAGGTTGTGGCGCCTCGTGTACAATCATTCTTAGGGCACTATGCAAATGCTTTTTCACTGAACGATTTGCACGGTATGTTTGTTTATAGTGCATTAAAATATGCCACCCATGACAGTACGCTGGCAAAAGGAGTGGACACTACACAAGCACCTGACAAAGACTTAATAGAGAAGGAGAAATATGCCATGAGAAAGATGAAGGTACAGAACTTCAGCTAAATGATGTCAACTCTCACCTTATTTGTTCATTCAAGGCCGTTGTACAGACAACAGGTCGTCACTCAGATGAAAATAGTGAAAGTGACTTCCTTTAGAAAACAAACTCTTTGGTGGATGTTATTGACTTGATTATTGTTCTATAAGGCATGGGTCAAAAGCCGAACAAAATATTAACAAATAGCAACAAATTTTGAATCCCTTTGAAAACTAGTAAAACAATTGTCACTATAAAAGAAAGTGTGTAAAGCTTTCTTGTAGTATATATAGTTATGACGCGATAAACCATCTATTTATTATCCCCGATTCTTTATTTTCAGCCACTTCTTGATAGGTTTCTCCATGAAAAGACAAGTCTTCAGGTACATTAGAATTTGCANAAACTCTCTCAGAGTAGCAAGGAATGGCTGGCTATGCAGGCTAGGCCATTCACAAACGGGCACTTCTTTTAAGTAACAATGCGCTAAAGAACTAGGGAACTCTCTATTGTTCTGCGGCATAGCGAGTTCCCCATGTACGAATGTCTTGGTTTTCACACTGATTATGTATTAACCTGTGGGTAACACATTTTTGATATAAAATGTGGATAAACTCTATTTTGAAACAAAGTTTCTTTTGTATTAAAAGCTCTTATCCAATCATAAGCACTCAAAACAATAGCCAAAAGATGCTTCTAATTTGCTATGTTCCCCACGTAGAATTGCCTTAATATTAAAGCTAAAGAAAGCTTTCATGAAAGCGAAAACAGACATTAAATAAAATATTAGAAAATTCGCTAACTTGTGAAATTATAGCAGATTTTCATGTTTTAACCAATGGGATGGATGGATTATACAATGCGCAATTAGCACCTTCTTGCATTCCTGTGCCGTTTGCTTCCCTAGTTCTTACTCGGGGCATTACTTAAAAGCAAAAAGAAATGGTTGCAAAGCATCCAAGAGTGATAGCTGTGCTCCGTGATCAGATATGGGTCGGTTCGCTGGCTGCTTTGTGTGTGTGTTGTAACTATGTGATTGTCTTCATAATGATAGCGCCCTCGTATACCGCATAACCGACCCGATCACGTGAGGTGCGTCCTTCGTAATTCAGCACTCGGGCTGCAAGGAAGGGCGATTTTCTATCACCAATATATTTATTTATTTATTTATTTGATAGTGGGCCTTTACTGTAAATGCAAATATGAATGACTATCTGTGTCCAGAACATAAACTAGCATCTAATAGTTTTTAAACATTTTCTATCTTCAGGAAGACATTTTGATTGAATATTTGTTGAAAAAGGAAGACTCTGACGCCATCAAGTCTTTGAAAAACATGAAAGCAGAAAAGTARGTTTAATTAATACTGATTTATAGCAAGAAGAAACGTGTCTGAACGGATATTTTTAGACTTTTTAGTTCCAGCTTTCCATGCCAAACCATAATAATCATTTTTTTTGTAGATATTTGAAAGATCTGTTTTTGAAAGTGATATTTGCCGGGGTAAACAGAAATGATGAAGAGAGACTTCTAATCGCACAATTAATCCAGGCCATGTACAAAGAGGGCTTGATCACTAAAGACATTATCATGCAGGTAAAATGGACTACGAGTTGATCGTACATGAGGCTTTATTTGGTCGTTCATTGCAGTATTGATCGTTTTCACCCATTCCCATGAGATTCAAAAGCGATAAAAGACCGGCGGCCATGTTGGAGGAATGAACAATAGATACTAATGAGAAATCATTTGTTAAAGTTCCTCCAAGATGGCCGCTGTGACGTAACCTGCAAACCAAGAATACAGTATTGAGTATTCTATGCTTATAAAATAGCTGTACATGATTGGTAACCTACATTTCTCTCATTGTTGTCATTATGGTCACTGTCTTTAGGGAATGAGAAATGTCCTTGAGGAGAGTTTGAATGACAAAGATGGACAAAATACTAAAGAATACATTGCAGGACTATCAGCGAGAACAGTCATCCAAGTAAGATTACAAGAAGACTTTCAAAGAATAAATAGTGATTATTGATTTATTCACTTATTGTCAATGCTTTGGTTTCAGGGGCTAGTCAGCCTTAGCGAAGTTGGTAAAATGCTGGAGGGTGAAAAATACCTGAATACTCTACTGATGGTACTTAAAAAATTGGAACACATGAATGGGCAGGTAAATACTTAAGACATACATGTACACATGGATGGCATGGGTGGTCTAGTGGTTAAGCTGCTGGCCTCTCACCGCTGTGGTCCGGGTTCGATTTCCGGGCACGGACCATATGTGAGTTTGARTTTGTTTGATGTGTTGTTCTCTCCCTTGCCACGAGGGTTTTTCTCCGGGTCCTCCGGTTTTCCTCACTCAGCAAAAATCAACATGTGAGGAGTGTTGTCTGCTAAAATACTTAATGTAGAGGTAGTGAGTGTGAGAGTACAGGGTCCGCAGTAATAGTCGACTTTAGATATTTTGGTTCAGTGACCATGCACAAAAGAATTGCAGACGAGGATCCGGGGAAATAAGAGAATAAATCAAAATTATCCATTGTTTCCCCGGAGCCTCGTGTGCGTTCTTTTGTACATAGTCATCGAACCAAAATATCTAAAGTTGACTATTGGCTCACGCTGTTGCGGTGTCCCTGCCCCAAGTAGGGGCAGAAGCTTTTAAATTTAAATTTACACATTCTAAGTGAGTGGTTGGACTGCCTGATAACACCTACAGCTTGTCGAAAAAACAAAAGGCTCCATGCACCATCTTAAAAGGTAGCCGTGCCTTTACATCGAAGCGAGACAACCGTTGAGCATGTAGTGATAGAAACCTTTTTTTGCATATAAAGAGGTATCTATCATTGCACGCTTAACCGTCGCATCGCTTCGATGCAAAGGCACGGTTACATTTCAAAATGGCGCAGGGAACCGTTAAGGGGACTGGGCACTGAGACAACTTTTACTTTACTTGTACAATTTTATCAAAGTAATAATTTTTAAACTTATTTTTTTTCTGAAGGAATGGCTTATCGGTTCATTCAACGAAAGCAAGATCAATCTTTTGAACTGCTTGCCAGGTAAATTAAGTGTAATGATTTAGATTTTACAGCCTAATCATTCTTGTATGCAAAACCTCAGAAGGATCTGGAAACGAGAATGATACGTCGACTCGCGCATGCGTACATTAAAAAGTTACACTGGTAGCCCAATAAAGTAACATTTTTTTTGGTTTGGACAGAAAAAGACAGATGCAATGAAACAATGGTAGAAATACTTGAAGAACAGGTACACACTTGTTATATTTATTATACAACTATCAATGAAAAATCAGCTGGCATACTGTGTAGCATTATTCTGTGATAGTTGCACGCGGAAAATGGATGTTCAGAAAAACAAATAATCGCCCTCGAACACAGACTGGCTAATTGGCAATTTAAAAACAACAACAATAACAATCAAAATAACACTTTTTTCGGAATTTTTTCGACTACTTTTTCTCCTTTCGACGCAACCATGGTATTCGGTAGCCAATACGAAAAACCTTTGCTATTTATAAACAAGTCTAGATTTGTGCAGTATTATAATTAAGAATGCTGCATTTGTAAAAGCCTATACAGTCAACTCTCTCTTAAGCGACCACCTCTGGATCAGGAAAAAGGAGGTCGCTTACGAGAGATGGTCGCTTACGAGAAAGTTTTTTTTACAGAGTTTATATGGGAAACTGAACAAAACGGTAAATTTAAAAGGTGGTCGATTACGGGAGATGGTCGCTTACTAGAGTGGTCGTTCAAAGAGAGTTAACTGTATTTTGGTGGATCTCAATTTCGCATATTTTAGTAATTACATTGCAAAGTTTACTAATTATTGAGTAAATTGATATTCACGGTATTATTCACTAGAGAATTATTTGTTCGCAGAGCCTTGCGTTCCTATTCCCTCTGTTGAGGATACAAGCTGAGCTTTACAAGAAAATAGAAGATGATCCGAATTCATCAAACATCTACAAATGGATCAAGGAGAACATTGATTCCACACTCCAGAGTCAGCCGGAGTTTGTCAATGTTTTGACCACGTGGTATGCTTTTCGTTTTTATCTTGACCGTAGTCTTAAAGCTCGTTAAGACTGGAGATTTTTGCGGCGACTTTTGTGTTCATTTGATCCAAGAGAATGATGCTAAAGAATTCATAACTTAACTTTTATTCAGTATACTGAGATGAGCTAACTTAATGTCTCAGATGGATAGGAAAAAATCTATTAAATTTTGAAAATTGAAGCTCAAATCGTCGCAAAAATCGCCAGCGCAATTAAAGGCCGAATAGCCGATTTCCGAATTTCGCCTTAATATTCAAAGACAAAAGGATCAAGACGAGGCGCCGTGCGCAAGTCGGCTATTAGACGACACAACTTTTCCCTACAACCATCGCATGCAAAATGCGTAAGTCATCCTCCAGCATTTTGTTTTAAATTCTTACGACAGTTGTAGCCATGTTGTAAGGCTTACGCCAGGCTGCATGCGATGGTTGTTGGCAAAGGTTGTGACGCCTCGTGTACAATCATTCTTAGGGCACTATGCAATGCATTTTCACTGAACGATTTGCACGGTATGTTTGTTTATAGTGCATTAAAATATGCCACCCATGACAGTACGCTGGCAAAAGGAGTGGACACTACACAAGCACCTGACAAAGACTTAATAGAGAAGGAGAAATATGCCATGAGAAAGATGAAGGTACAGAACTTCAGCTAAATGATGTCAACTCTCACCTTATTTGTTCATTCAAGGCCGTTGTACRGACAACAGGTCGTCACTCAGATGAAAATAGTGAAAGTGACTTCCTTTAGAAAACAAACTCTTTGGTGGATGTTATTGACTTGATTATTGTTCTATAAGGCATGGGTCAAAAGCCGAACAAAATATTAACAAATAGCAACAAATTTTGAATCCCTTTGAAAACTAGTAAAACAATTGTCACTATAAAAGAAAGTGTGTAAAGCTTTCTWGTAGTATATATAGTTATGACGCGATAAACCATCTATTTATTATCCCCGATTCTTTATTTTCAGCCACTTCTTGATAGRTTTCTCCATGAAAAGACAAGTCTTCAGGTACATTAGAATTTGCAKGCGTGATTCAACAACAAAYTTTCCTCCTCTCTCATTGGTTGAAAACCCCTAATTTTTTATGCAAAAACACTTGAGGCTAAATATGGACCAAGCCTAACCCGCCAWTTTTTTACTGATTGTAGGTTAGGGCGCTGTATTCCCTGCAAGTGTTCTGCTACACCAACTCATTTCCAAAAGGTAAGAATATAACTAATTTGGACAAACTATCGGAGCACCTTGTATGGTCTTCTACCCTTGATCATCTATTTTATAGGGACRTGGTCCACCAGCATCCCTTTCGAGCTTTTGCTCATGTTTGGAAATATAAATACATCGTAATATAATCAAAAACCTAGTCTTTATTATCCCTTTATGCTCTATGAATGGAGATACTGTAAGATCCGACTTTTAAACCGATAGATGGAAACGGATTTTCAATATATGAAAAATCTAAAACACGACCGCATTGAATGCTGGTGGACCATGTCCCTTTAATCCAGGTAGTGTTTTGGAAGTAAAACAGATTTTCCCAAAAAAARTYATTTCCTGCTTGAGACGCAATTAACGGCCGGTCCCAAAATGCGCGAAAATTGCCTAACCATTCGAARGAATATGTTTGTGTATTGATTTATGTATTTCATTTAAGGTCTCCTATTGCGCATGTTCATGCTTCTTTACGATCTGGAGATTGTTGAGGAAGAGGCGTATGTCAAGTGGAAGGAAGATGTCAATGAAGACTATCCAGGGAAAGGAAAGGCTCTGTTTCAAGTAAGTTGATAAGGTTTGGCCCCGTTGAACGCTATGATTTCTATATGCCCTTTTCCCGCTGGGACACAAAAAAGAAGAAATCAGTCGGCTCAAGCGGAAATCCACTTCATATAATTAGATCCTTTAGCTATAAATCCGGACTTGGTCTCAGGGCAGAATAAATAGGGTTTTCCTAAAACTGCAAAGCGACCCCAACAAAAAATCTCCTGRCGTATATAGTGTAGTCTCACTAGCAAKCTAGTGAAGCTGATTCTCTTCTGAAACAACAGAATCAATATTCGACCTTACCTCTTCCGCAGGCATCGCAAAGAATCACGGGCTTCCTGTCTTGTTTGGGAGTCAAAAGAGGGAGAATGGGGGCGAGAGAGGGGCTTCTTTTTTTCCCTTTCTCGTCACTAGTCTTTAGCGGACAAGATGACCGTTACAAAGGAAGCCCAAAGGAGGAAAACAGAGTTGCCTGGTGAGAAGGCTAATTGGACCTTTCCTTTTCTTTCAGGTCAATACATGGCTGACATGGCTCGAAACAGCCGACGAAGAAGGCTCTGAATCCGAACCAGAGTAACGCACACCAGTATTGCGTGACACGCGTCACATGATCTTGAAGGAAATTAACAAAACCATCACCAAGAGAATAATTCTGCAAGAATAATAGCAAGCAAACACGTGGTCTAATGGATCATTAATTGCATTTTGAATCSCGTCAAAGCCTTCCAATATTGTGAATGAATACGCTCCATAAGCTTGACTAGACCTTTTGCTATCTGATGAATAGTTCCGTTTATGKCCTATGTGTACATGGGGGCTCTTCCATGGGATCGGTTGTTATTTATGACCTGGTTTAAGAGCATAAAGGCCGAATTAGACGACACAAATGTTGCCTACAACCATCGCATGCAACCTACTTAAGTCATGCTTACAACATGGCTACTTCTGTTGTAAGAATTTGAATCAATTAATGGCACCACAACAGTTGCAGCCATATTGTAAGGATGACTAAAGCAAGTCGCTTGCGATGGTTGTCGGCAAAAATTGTTTCAACTAATTTGGCCTTAAGATGGGGTGTTGAGTAACCTGAGTTTCATCCAGCGTTTACTCGTAAACCCCTACACCGGATGTACGCAGGCTAGGGGTTGGGTTGCGCGACGCACTTCCCAGGCTATAAATAATGACKATTCCCCATTCTCATACCCAGGCCCTTTTTAGGCTAGCCTTCGAGTCTACTTTGGAGAACTGAGGAGGACTTGGGTACTAGAATGACTGGTTCCTAACTGACATGTATAATTCCCCAACGAATATTGTAATTCTTGAACATCTTTATCTTCTCAATAGTCCCCTTGCAATTGCCCTATGCGGTAATCACGTCACGCCAAAGCATTACATTGTTTCGACCTAAGGATTATGGTCTCCAGAGGGGAACAGAATTACTCCCTATCAAAGAAAGTGTACATGAGCAATCATGTATACATGGTATAGATATCAAAACTAGATAAGTTAAGAGAGAATATTAATAAGTCCAAATTTCCTCTGTTTYTGAGCATTTTTCCCATTGTAAACTTGCTGTGACGTCATTATGCSACAGGGCAATAGTTTCCTTGGTGATTTCCTGCTTCATCTAGAAAGGTACTCGGTGTCTTTACATCGAAGGGAGACGAGCTTTGAGCGTGCAATGATAAATRCATGTACCTGTTAATGATGGTCTCGGTGTAGGCGTGACTAGAAGGTTTGTATTATTGTACGCTTAACGGTCTGCATCTAACTTCGATGCAAAACTCCGCAAAATGGAGCCGGGAATCCTCGAGGAGAGTAAGAGTGCATTTTCATCTGGGGTACAAAACAATAGATTCAATTTGCGCTCGTAAAATATGCTGAGAAAATTATGATCCTGTCACCTGAGTTCTCTAGCTATTCTTTAGAAATACAAGTAGTTWCGTTGTGCCATGTATAACAGATTTTATTWGATTCCCAAGAGGGAAAGGCGTTTGTTTTGACCCCCAGRTGAAGGGAAAATTAATTTCCTTTGACCGTGAAAGATCAATACATCTACTCGGAATTTATTGTTTTATGTTATTATTTGTCAACAAGTAGGATGGTACAATACAGTCATTTTCTTTCACWGTCAGAAAAAAAWTCACTCYGCTTCTCAGGCAAGGGGTCTGTATCAGATCAATATCATTTTACCTAGAGCTAGCCTTTGTTACTGCCCGCCTGTGATAACAGGAACTTCCATATTACAAATAAAACGTCCAGGATCTGTAGAATTGGTTTT